CCAGTTCTGTCACTTACTGTCGATGTGGCCTTGGGCAAGTTATTTCACCTCCGAAACCGTCTCTTTATCTGTGAAATGTGGTGATGAGTGTATATGTGTATCAACACACACACACTTTCCTTTAAAACAATACTTTGCAAGGGTCTAAACCCTACCATGGTACCTGGCGCATGTTGTAGTTTTGTCTTTTCAGGGAGCATTCTTATTTTTATTTCATGTTAAATTGCAGCGATGTTATGAGGACTCAGCAGAGGCATTGGAATCTAAGATTGTGACAATCTGGGCTTTATCTCTGAGAAATGACTGGGAAAAAAAAAAAGGTGTCCTTGTGATTTTTCCAACTCCATCACTGATCACTCTCCATTCATGTCCTACCCACACCCCCTTCTCCCCTTCTCCCTTTGCCTCAAAGAAAACTAATGGAGCCATATAGAAATCTCTGAGATATAACTGACCTTGTGCACCTTTAATTGAGGACAGAATTTGCTGAAGTGCATCCAAAAACCCACCAGTGGTTTACTTTACAGTCTGTGTGCTGGCTAGACTGGCTGTTGGCTGTATAATTTGTCTAGTTTTGTCTGGAGTCTTAGACTATTCAGCTGCTTCAGGGAAAAATCTTTTGGGGTGTCATTAAATGGGATTGATAATTGGCTTCTGATGAATATTCATTGTGACTAATGACTCTGGGCAAATTTTACACATACTATCTTTCCATTCTCCCACTGAGTGAGATTTTGATAGAATCATTTTCTTCAGCTTGCACTTCAATTATCTATTCACAATACCCCTTTGTTGACTACACTCCAAATTATATACTTTCATTTACTTTTAAAGTTTGTATTCTGTAAGGAATGGACATAGGCCTTTAGGACTTTTATTTTTAGAAACAGGATTTAGAGTTGTAAGTGTCAAGCAATACTTTACAGAACAGAGTGCATTATTGAATATAGATATATAGTAGGACTTTTCTTGTAATCAGCTTACCTTTCTTAAGTAATGATGCAGATAGTTTATGTCATTTAGTATTTTGGAAAACAGCCAAGCAATTCCCTGTTTTGTTTGTTTGTTTTCTTAGTCAAATGAGTAATGCATTTTATCCCAATTGCAGAGATTTGGCCCTTAGAAAACCCACTAATGAAATGATCAAACACCTTAAAAGCTTGATTTTTTTTAAATGAAGGATAAATAATTTTAAAATCTTGGCGTTGAGGTTGGTAGGTTTGCCTTTGAGGTTAAGAAGACATGAAAAGAACATTATCTGAAGATGAGATCTCTGCTACTTTATCAGTTAAAATAGGTTTTTGACCCAAACCAGGTTAACCTAAAAAGAGTCACATAATCAAGTTCTATCTGAACCAGATTCATTCTATTAAATGACTTTTTCAAAGAGAATCACAAATTAATTCATGTGATAATATTACCTTACATTTGTACGGGACCTTATAGATTTTGAAATGCTTTTATTTATTTATGTGTTGTGGAGTTATAGTGTAGGCATGTGATTGAACAAATGGGTGAATGGTTGAATGACTTGGTTTTTCAAAAGTGGCATGCTTGTGTGTCTAATCTTGCTGTTGTTGTGTTACACTTTTTTTTTTTTGAGACGGAGTCTCACTCCATCGCCCAGGCTGGAGTACAGTGGTGCGATCTTGGCCCACTGCAACCTCTGCCTCTCGGGTTCAAGCAATTCTCCTGCTTTAGCCTCCGGAGTAGCTGGGTCTACAGGCATGCGCCACCATGCCTGGCTAATATTTTTGTATTTTTAGTAGAGACGAGATTTCACCATGTTGGCCAGGCTAGTCCCAAACTCCTGACCTCAAGTGATTCGCCCACCTCGGCCTCCCAAAGAGCTGGGATTACAGGCGTGAGCCACTGCGCCCGGCCTGTTTTAGACTTTGAGTCATGTACCTTAGTGAGACTCATGAAAATGTTCGTATAATGCTATTAAAAGCCAAACTACTAAACTATCTTTGGATTGTCAGTATATTCTAAGTAAAAATTATTTTTTATTTATTCGGGACACATCCCATTAACTAGTGCACACGTGTGTGTGTGTGTGTGTGTGTGTGTGTGTGTGTGTGTGTGTGTTCTGTGCCACTGAGAACATGGAGATGACACAGGATCTCCTGTACTTTATAGTCAGGAGACAAACATGCAGATGTTATGGTCAAGTTAATAATGAGTGCCTACAGGCAGGGCGCGGTGGCTTATACCTATAATCCCAAGGCTGAGGTGGGTGGGTCACTTGAGTTCAGGAGTTCAAGACCAGCCTGGCCAACATGGCGAAGCCCCATCTCTACAAAAATTAGTTGGCGTGGTGGCGCACGCCTATAATCCCAGCTACTCAGGAGGCTGAGGCAGGAAAATTGCTTGAATTCAGGAGGCGGAGGTTGTGGTGAGTGGATATCACGCCATTGCACTCCAGCCTGGGTGACCCCACCAAGGCTCACAGGTTTAATCCATCCCTTCTCACTCTATTTCCATAGGTTCCCGTTAATTTTGAGACCCTGTCTCAAAAATTAGTAATAATAATAACAGTAATGTTAGTAATAATATTAGCATTAGTAATAATATTATTACTAATATTAATATTAATATTACTAATAATATTATTAATAATAATACTCTGGTGCCTATGCATGCGGAGCAAGGGAAGGCTTTGAAGAGGAAGTACTTACACACAGACCTGAGGAAGGAGTTTGCTAGAGGCACAAATCCTGGCCAGTTTGGGCGACAGGTGGAAAGGGAGGGAAGGAAAAGGAATACATGACCCTATCTAAGCCTGCAAGTGATATATTCCAAGGACAGACTTGGAGAAGACAGTACAGAGTGTGTCTACAGATGGCTGCTGTAAAGCTAGACGTGGGCTGGTGGAGCCATCCGGGGCCAGGCATGCCCCAAAGGCTTCTGAGTAGGAAGTAATGTGACGGAACCTGTGCTTGAGGAGGGCAGAAAGAGTGGAACCCTCTAGCCGACTTCAGGGTGGAATCAGGTCGGGGTGGTTTGTTCTCCACTCAACACTAGCAAGGAGTTTTCATCTCTAAGAGGCCCTGAAGGGATTAGTCATATATAAGCACATATATATATATGTATATATATATATGAATGACAGCCTTTTTTATATGGGAACCTATGGAAATAGAACGGGAAGGGATGGATTAAACCTGCGAGCTGTGGCGGGGTCTCTGAGAACATTTCTTGGGTGCCTGCTGAATCAGATCCGGTTCATGGCATGTACCTGGCTTCAAGAACAGGGTCTGGAGGAAAGTGTCCAGGCAGGCGGGGGTAGGGAGTAGCAGCCCTGGCTTTAACACACAGCTCTCACAACTGTGAAACATCAGCAGAATATCCAATTTAAAGCTGGTTCATGTTACACTAACCTCTGGGATTCTTTTAACTGGGCCTTGGCACGTCACTCTTTTGCCACGTAAATGTCCTTCTGTCAGGAAAGGCCAGTTAACAGCTTCCAAAAGGAGCAAAGTCCTCATGGGAACAGGCTTCCCTGAAACCAAAGAAACATTAAAGAAAAAAAGACAGAAAGAAACGTGTTGTTGGCTTTTGTCACTTCATAGCTATATCTCCAAAGGTTGATTTTTTCTTTCTTTTCACTATATTGAATTTTGTAGCAATTGTATCCCTTTGTATTATCTTTGCTTCCTAAATTTTTAAGTATCAAATACTGATTGTATGATGTCTCTAGCTCTTAGGAAAAAAAAGTAATATAAAATCGTGGCAAGTCAAAAGACTGTGGAGAGGAAGGATTAGTCAGTAAACGGTGCCAGAGCAATTGATTACCTATGTGGAAAAAATAAATTCTCACCTCAGTCCTTAAACCTGAAGTAATTCCAGATGGATGGAAGAGTTAAATGCCAAGGAAAAATCTGGAGGACTTTTGTAGGAAAAAATGGTAGAAACCATAATGGAAGAAAATATGTGTCTATGTAATTACTTAGACCTTCTTTTTGCCCAGAAATTCAAAGAAAATTAAGAATAAATTGTCTTCAAAAACATTACAAAATCTGGGTATTCTTTGCATATCATCAGTGATTGCTTATAAAGTAGTAAAAATTACTAATACTAATTTTTAAAGGGGGCTAAGAATATGAACAGACCATTTGTCTATTATATAAGTATAGTCAAGAAACATGACAAAATGTTCATCCTTAGTCATGATCAGAATAAAAATAAAAGTAAGATAGATACAATTTTAAGGCTATTAACTTGACTACAAGGAGTAGTGCTGGTGAGGGGCAGGAAGGCCAGAATCGTGGTGTATGGTTGGGGGTGGGGGTGTAAAGAGCCTCCATCCTTCATCTGTTCATTATCCTAACACATTTATAAGATATGTATTTATTAAGTACCTTGAAATACTTATAACCTTTGTCTCTGAATTCTACATTTAGAAACCATATATACCAATTATTGACCTGATATGATTATATTACTTAATAGTAGAAGAGTAGTTAAATATATAATGGCCTGGGAAATTCATCGAGTATCATTAAAATATATCTTTTTCTAAAAATATTTAAAGAATATTCTGGATTTGTGCTTTTAAAGCATCATTAAGAGATACCTTTTTCTAAGATTATTTAAAGAAGAATGGCATCAAATAACGCTCACTTTTAAGAAACACAAAAGAATACTGTATAGTCATCCTAATTGTATTTTAAAAGGAAATACATGTGCTTGTGTGTATAATAATCTACAATATTAAATCTTCCATTGGTGGCGGCTTTTTTTAAATCCCTTTCTCCGCTTTTACAGTTTTCTACCGTAAGTCATATATTAACTTTATAATCAGAAAAAAAGATATTTTGAAAAGAAAACTCTTACTAAATTTGAATTAGGGTGATTGAGTTAACGTAGAATGATTTCTCCAGGTTTTTCAGCTTATCATGTAAACATGTTGAAAAATTATAGAATTGTATTGCTGTAATCAAATGGCGGTGTCTCTTCCCTTGGATTTGTTCATCGATCTCTGCTTTGCTCTGTTCCAGCTGACTGCCTGCATCCACGGGTCGGCGGCGATGCTCTACCCCATGTACTGGCAGCACGTGTACATCCCTGTGCTGCCACCGCATCTGCTGGACTACTGCTGGTAAGGTGGCTGGCCCTATCCTCTGCTTCTCCTTGCCCTGAACTGACCGAACATGTTAGGTGTGTCACTTGTTAATGCAGTTGGTGACTCTACATTAAAAATATTAACTTCAACCAGCCTGGACACAATAGTGAGAATCCATCTGTACAAAAAAAAAGGAACCAGGCATGGTGGCGCAAACCTGCAGTCCCAGCTAGTCAGGAGACTGAGATGAGAGGATCATTTGAGCCAAAGAGGTCAAGGCTATAGCAAGCTATTATTGTGCCACTGCACTCCATCCAGGGCAACAGAGTGAGACCCTGTCTCAGAATAAATAAAAATGGTAACTTCAAAATGGCATGGATTTAAGACCACCTGGTTGCATGACCCTTTTGTTTCCAGTTTTCTTATATGTTATGACATTCTGAAGAGTACCAGAGAATAACTTTTCCCGTTTCTCAGTCTGGGGAAAGTAATGCACCAAGAGGTTGCATGTCTGTTTGTTTTTTTCCTAAGACAAGTTTTAAACTGCAGACAGAAACAATTGAGATCCCCAAGGTCTTCAAGTCTCAGCCATGCCCTGACACATTCCTTAAGACTTGTACTCACTGTGGTTTGGGAGCACAAGCCAGACGCGCAAAACCGTCTAAAGTACTTGAGCATTTCACTGTTCGGTGAAACCGACTTCAGTGGAAGGAAGAAACAAAGGTGTTGGCGACAGCCCTACCATCTTGGACAAGTCACTTGACTTTAAGACTTTGTTTTCTCATCTGTAAAAGGAAGTTGTTCAATACATAATCATATGAAGATGAAACAAGATAGCATATGAAAGGACCCCATGTAAAAAGCTGGCTCGTGGTAGGTGCTCAGAAAATGTTTCCACAGACATATCATCATCCTATCTGTCTTCAGTAGATTACCCAAAGTGACTGTGACCAATTTGGATCTCTTTTCCTCATGAGTAATTTCTTTCTCTAGTGTAAAGCAGTTAGAGACATTGTCTCCAAACAGCTCAAGTCAACAAAAGTCCATAAGGAAGCATGGTACACATGGAGGGAAAGGCACTTACTGCAGGCTGGATATTGAGAGCTTCAGGAAAGGGGAACCCATTTGAGGGTCATAGCCCTGCTGCTTGATGACACAGGACACTGACCACAGGTTCAGAGTGATTGAGTCCAGGTCAGTCGTACTTTTGCTGGGATCTCCAGCCCATTTTGCAGTCATCTCACTGGAAAGGTTCACCCAGGTAGCCAGATTGTCCAAGGAGCATGAAGGCATTCCACAGTCACTCCTAAGTGGAACGTGCTGGGCTCACCCTCTTCCCAAGAAGCCATAGGGATAACAAGGATGTAACTCAGGGCCATCATGTGAAAATCAGTGGCCCTCTCTCATGCATAGTAGTAAGTGAATGGGCCTGATTCTCTCTCTCTCTGTCTCTTTTTTTTTAATTGCATTTTAGGTTTTGGGGTACATGTGAAGAACATGCAAGATTGTTGTATAGGCACGCATATGGCAGTGTGATTTGCTGCCTTCCTCCCCTTCACCTATATCTGGCATTTCTCCCCATGCTATCTCTCCCCACCCCCCCGTCCCTCCCCCATTTCCCCCCAACAGACCCCAGTGTGTAGTGCTCCCCTCCCTGTGTCCATGTGTTCTCATTGTTCAACACCCACCTGTGAGTGAGAACACGCGGTGTTTGATTTTCCGCTCTTGCGTCAGTTTGCTGAGAATGATGGTTTCCAGGTTCATCCATGTCCCTACAAAGGATACGAACTCATCATTTCTGATGGCTGCATAATATTCCATGGTGTATACCTACCACATTTTCCCTGTCCATTTTCTATCACCGATGGGCATTTGGGTTGGTTCCAGGTCTTTGCTATTGTAAACAGTGCTGCGATGAACATTTGTGTGCATGTGTCCTTATAGTAGAATGATTTATAATCCTTTGGATATATACCCAGTAATGGGATTGCTGGGTCAAATGGAATTTCTATTTCTAGGTCCTTAAGGAATCGCCACACTGTCTTCCAACAATGGTTGAACTAATTTACACTCCCACCAACAGAGTAAAAGTGTTCCTATTTCTCCACATCCTCTCCAGCATCTGTTGTCTCCAGATTTTTTCATGATTGCCATTCTAACTGGCGTGAGATGGTATCTCAATGTAGTTTTGATTTGCATTTCTCTAATGACCAGAGATGATGAGCATTTTTTCATATGTTTGTTGGCCTCATGTATGTCTTCTTTTGTAAAGTGTCTGTTCATATCCTTCGCCCACTTTTGCATGGGCTTGTTTGGTTTT